GATTGCTATGAGGTGGAAGTCTACATACATTCACTTTCCAACCTATTTACCAATTCCGACACCAGCAGTGCCTCCTCTGGATTTGATTATGGGATGCAATGGCCACACAGAACTCAATGACTGTACTTAGAGTTAAATATTTTTTTAAGGAATGCGATACAACCCAAGATCAGGATCAATAAGCTGCAACTCAGGAATCAGGATCAGGAAACATGTAGACAAAGTCGTCTTTTAGTGTAGGACAGCTGTCAGCGCTTCTATTGGCTGTGTAGGCCTTCTCTTTTGCCACTGGCTTTGCCGATGGGCTCCTTCCAGACCTGTCACTGCCAGCTCTGCCTTCGGGTTTATTGCATCTGGCTTTGCCACTAGACCCCTTCAGGGCCATTCACTAACTTCAGTGTTAAAACTTTTGTCCTATGTTACAGCTTTTAGAATGTTCCTTGCCATTTGTGTTAGGTTGGGTTCTCTAGTGATGACAAAACTAGTGATGGTAATATAAGTTGTAGGAGCCATTAAGTCCACTCTGGTTCAAGTCCATGGTTCAGAGGTTAAGCTAGAGGCTTTTTCTGAGCCATGCAGCTGCTAGGACAAGCAGCCCAGGAAGCAGGAAGACAGCAGAAAACCACAGGCTGGTACATGTCAGCAGATGGGGGCTTATGGTTTATAGAGTCAAACAAATCCAAGGTTGTCAGGCTATCATGGTTCCCAGAGTTAGCAGACAATATGACAGGCCATTGATAGTACCTAGGGTCAGCAGACAGTATGTTCAGCTGTTAGCTCAAGAGCTGGAGGTCTGTGTGACAGATGTAGGACCCAGGCCAGTAAGAAAAGTGATGCTCTTTATAGCATCTACTTAAATATCAAATAGGTGTCATCAAGGCAGTGACCTAAGTAACTGCTTAGCTCAAAGCAGATTCCATCATGGAGATGATTAGATTACGTTAGATCACATTATGAGGGCAGCCTCAAGTTCCAAACCACTGAGAATCCTAACTTAGCCAAGTTCACACAAAACCTAACTATCACACTTCATTTCTCTTCTGTTGCTCTTTTCTTCTCTCCTTTGTTCCTTCTCCGTCCTGTCTAAGAAAGCTCTGTTAGGCTGGCTTATATCTATAAACTTGTATCTACAAACTCCTTGTCAGTTTTAAAACCATACACTTGGGCCGACCAATCTCCTATCCATTGGACCATAGGCATTTTATTTGCATTGTCTATAATCACTTTATTTGACAATCTGTTGACCAATCTCTGAGAGATGCATACCAGACAAAGGGCAGCCTGACAAAAATTCAAGTTATTTATATCTTGTCAAGGAAATGTCAATCAAGGTGGACAAAAATATGCTGTATGGGCAAGTGCTAGCTAGGGCAAAAATAACTCCTCAGGTGCAGGGGGGGAATCTCACATTCTGTTTTTCCAAAGGACCAAAGCTGTAGGCCACATTTCCGTAGGAACTCATTTCACCATAGATGCTAACAGAGCTGTTTCACAAAGGAAGTAAAGACATGAGGGAACTGTGATGGGTCTCCAACTCAAATCCTAAGCCATTGTTTTATCCATTATACTAGAGAGCCAGGACATTCCATAGAAACATTCATGAAACATATCAAAACGTGAAACCATTGTTTCTTGACATGTCCTCCAGGTAGGTCTGTACACTTCCGAAGGCACTTCTGTAACCTTTCCCTATGCCAGAAGTCTGCACTCCAGTTCTCCCTGTGCCAGTACAGCAGTTGGGCATCCTCAGCCTCAACCATGTGCCTTTACAATGTTCTTTGAGTTTGGGGAACAGAAAGGTTTGAAGAGGAAAGATCAGGGCTTTAAGGTGAATAGGGTAATGTTTCTCAACAAAATTAAATATCCCTTTCTACTCTGTAAGAGTGAACTAATGAATCATGGTTTTAAAGAGTCCTCGACACACTGCTTTTTGGCCTTTTCCTCACCAATGTTGTCTTTGGCTTTCTTTAAACTTATTCATCTTCATGATAACATCCCCCACCCCCCATGATTGTCCGGTGTCCTTTGAGAAAACCTATCAAGATGACTCCTTTGGGATCCTTAAAATAAACTTCCCATAACCTTCTGGAGTCCTGATGGCATTGTTGAATAAGTGTTTGACTGCCAATTGCAGGGTTGGGGTTCAAACCCACCAGCCACTCTTCAGGAGAAAAATGAGGCTATCTGCTCCCAGAAAGATTTGTAAAGCATGCAAGACCCTGTATAGCAGTGATCCCCAGAGTGGGCATACTACCCCCTGGTGGGGGAGGTGGGCACTGGAACAGTCCAGGAATGTTGCAAAAGTAGATACCTTCACATTATCTTTTATTATGGGTTATAGTCCTGTAGTACAAAGGTTTTTCATTGCCATGGGTTACTGAGTAAATTTTTTTTTTTCCTGAAAAGGGTGTGGTAGTCAAATAGGTTTGGGAACCTATGTTGTTGTTTTTTTAAATCATTTTATTAGTGGCTCATACAACTCTTATCACAATCCATACATACATCAATTGTATAAAGTGCATTTGTACATTCATTGCCCTCATCATTCTCAAAACATTTCCTCTCAGCTTAAGCCCCCAACATTAGGTCCTCATTTTTCCCCTCCCTCCCCGCTGTCCCCTCCCTCGTGAGCCCTTGATAATTTATAAATTATTATTTTGTCATATCTTGCCCTGTCCGACATCTCCCTTCACCCACTTTTCTGTTGTCCGTCCCCCAGGGAGGAGGTCACATATAGTTCCTTGTAATTGGTTCCCTCTTTCCAACCCACTCTGCCTCTACCCTCCCAGTATTGCCACTCACACCACTGGTCCTGAAGGGCTCATCCGCCCTGGATTCCCTGGATTTCCAGTTCCAATCTATACCAGTGTACATCCTCTGGTATAACCAGACTTACAAGGTCGAATTTGTATCATGATAGTGGAGGCGGGGAGGAAGCATTTAGGAACTAGAGGAAAGTTGTATTTTTCATCGTCACCCCCTGACTGGCTCGTCTCCTCCCCGAAACCCCTCTGCAAGGGGATCTCCAGTGGCCTACTATTGGGCTTTGGGTCTCCACTCCGCACTCCCCCCATCATTCACTATGGTAAGATTTTTTGTTCTGATGATGCCTTATACCTGATCCCTTCGACGCCTCGTGATCGCATAGGCTGGTGTGCTTCTTCCATGTGGGCTTTGTTGCTTCTGAGCTTGATGACCTCTTGTTTACCTTCAAACCTTTAAGACCCCAGACGCTATACTTTTTGATAGCCGGGCACCATCAGCTTTCTTTGCCACATTTGCTTATGCAGCCATTTGTCTTCAGTGATCCGTTCAACACCTTGTGATCACACAGGCTGATATTTTCTTCCATGTGGGCTTTGTTGCTTCTGAGCTAGATGGCCGCTTGTTTACCTTCAAGCTTTTAAGACTTGGGAACCTATGTTATATAGGGTTGCTTTGAGTCGGCATTGACTCCAACAGCAGTAGGTTTTGGGAATCTTCTGAAGCTGACCTCTGCTTGGAATTCAACCCCCCCAGCAGATACCCTGGCTAAGGTGACAAGTGTATTACTGCAAGAACTTATCACTGCAGTAACATGTTTAAACGTGGGTTATGAATAAACTTTTACATGTATGAACTAGAACCCCAGTAGCTGTGCATTCTGACTATCTCTCTTATATATTTAAATGTTTGTTCCTGGTATAGGTAGTAAGCTCAGGAACTTAACTATATTGAATATACCTTGTTTTGGTTGAAATTCCTAGCATCTAACAAGTGTTCAATAAATGTTTCCATGAATACTTATTTTATATCTTATTGATTTAAGGCATAATTAATTTAAGGCTTAGAGACTTGACCAAATGACTCAGAATCTGAAGTAGAATAGATTTATATATATAAGAATTTATGTACAGGACTTCAAGCTACATTAGATAACATTTTCATGAAATGGGGAATATCTTCTATAAAACATCATTTGAGTCTCCTTAGAAATAGTTACTATAAAATACTGTGATTATATTATTATTAACATTTCATATAGCAATGATAGAAATTTAGAGATGAGAATTATGATGGAGAGACTAAAAAAGCATATGGAGAAGTGGGAAGATAGTCTCTGTTCTAATATTTTTAGTACCCTAATGATTACTAGTAAGAGCAAAAGATACTATTTTTATAAATTTCAGCAATATTTGGAATGTGAGAAAAACAGTAGCATATCTCAACAACCCTTTTTATACATAAATCTTGATACAACTCAGCATTATTAAAGATATACACAGAGGAATCACCTTCTCATTTGATTCATTGTAAATGGCAATTTTAAAATTAAGAAGCTTAAAAAATACTTGTCATTGTGATTTGAATGGGAGTTTACTGACCAAATCTATTTTCTAGTCAATAATTCATATATATTTGTGTTGTGACATTGATTATAGTTCCCACAGTATAACAGCACTCTTCCACTTCCTTCCTCTACTTTACTCTTGCTATCAGCCCTCTTTTCTGTGCTTTTCAGTCTTCAGCGTTTTAGCACTGGGCAAATGCTGCCCTTTGGATCATGTGTGGTTAATTGTTAAGGAGTATGTACCTCCTGAAAGTTGTACCATGGGTTTAGTTCAAAGCCTGAAAAGTAGCCTACAGGCAGGCCATAGTCTCACGGGTTCCACAAGTCCCTATCAGAGCAGTAAACCTAGACATTTGTATTAAGTTAATAGCTTATAATTGTGTGAGTTTGTGAATATTGATTTTGAGCCACTAAGAAAGTACTCTTGTATATACTACTGTACATTGAAAGTAAATCCTCAGTAAAGACATAATATGAAAACAAACCTCTAAAATGGATTCCTAAGCCTACTGAGGATATATATGTGTGTGTGTAAATATATATATATATTTAATTTATATATATTGATAATATTAAGTAACTAACAAAGCCTAGTTTTCCTTAAAATGGACTTTTTATTTTTATGGCTACTATTTTACGTGAGATGCTTTGTGTTTGTTTTCCCTCATAGGAAGAGCAATATAATTTTTAGCAACAGGAATCAGTAACTGGAAGTACAAGATTGGTTGTTTAATAATGTTAAATTGAAGGTTTGATCAGCAGAGGTAAGAATATAGCATTTCTTTTTAATTAACTCTAAATGGATCAGAATAATTCCCTATTACTGTGAAGAACATTTCAAGAACTGGGAAGGGTTTGAGAATTTATGCCACGCCACGTGCATGCTAGCAAGCTCGCCTACTACTGTGCCTTGTTTATTGGTAGGGACCTGACAGTCCTGGGTCAAAGAAAAAGAGGGTTTTGGTACATGGAGCAGTAGGAGTCCTAGCCAGAGAACTGGAATTTATGCTGTTTCCCTTAGCTCAGTTTCTCCCAGGAGTATTTAAAAGGATGCTAGGTGGCATCTGCATTAAGCAGATTTTATTATAGAAGAACCCAAAACTAAGGGAACATGCATCTTTTCTATTAGACAATAAACTTGCTTAACTTTTGCCTTGTAGCATGACTCCACCTTTACTTATGTGGGAAAGTAAACAAATCTGTTCATTGTTTTAGACTGTCTCCTGAGACAGGTGCTAGACAAACCTTTTTGCAGAGTCCCCAGAAGAAAATGTTTACCAGACAAGTAAAAACATGAGGGACCTGTGGAAACCCATTTTCCAACACGTTCTTACTTTGCATTGCTTAGTAAAATATCTAGTATTGATAAAGATAATCATTAACATGCTTTTAAAAAAACAATGAAGATAGAAACTAAATATCCAACAACAGATTTTTTAAATTCTCTGTTCACAGTATAACTAATGTAAAATGTTTTACTTCATTTTTTAACATATTTTCACTAAAAGTCAACTAGTTTATCAGATGTGTATATAATTTGATTCTGCTTTTATAGAAAATATATAAATGTAAACACATATGAAGAATATATACCCAGGTGTATATTTCACTGAAAAGAATTGTGAATGGTTTTGTTTTTATTTATTTTTTAACCTTTTTGAGACGGCTTATGCTTTTATAATGAAGTTAAAAAGCCTCTTTTGTAAATAAATTGTGAGTGATTTTGTTTTTATTTATTTTTGTAACCTTTTTGAAACGGCTTATGCTTTTATAATGAAGTAAAAAAGCCTCTTTGTAAATAAAATTAATGAAAAGTCATTTAAAAAACTTTTTCGCCTAAATGAAAAACATTTCATGGATTTAAAAAGGAACTATGAAATATTAAACGTCTTTAAATCTGGAATTGCCTTTATGCGCAATGTAGAGCTAGAAGAGAGGGTTCTGTAACTTCATTTAAAAAAAAGTTATCTATGATAGATAAGTTAAGAAATTCTTTTAATAGTTTGCTATATTGGTATCACATGGATATCATCAAGGAAAACAAATTAGAAAGGGTATTTTAGCAGGACAAATCTTAATTCTAGAGAATAGCACTATTTAATGAGTGTAGATTCTGATATGATTTAGTTGAGCAATGCTACATTAAACCCCAAAACAACCAGGCCACAGTTGAGCATTTCCAAGGCTTTAAGTCTTTAAAGAATTACACCACCACTTCTTTCTCCTGCAAATGACTGGTGGATTCAAACTCCAACCTTTAAATTAGCAGCCTGGCACTTTAGTCACTATGTTACCAGGGCCCTTAGGGACATTAAATTAATTTGATTTGCTCATTTTTATTTTATGCCTATATGTTCTATGAGGGGTACCCCCCAAAAACCAGAATTGCCCTGGACAAAGCGGAGCTTTCAGTAGTACGCATTTTTCCTGCTAGACGAGCATTGAGTTAATGCACCCAGTTGCTGGTTCTCTCTGGTCACAGTGAATTTTTTTATAAAATCAGTTTTGCTCGAAGCTCATTTTTTGTGATGGCTGATTTAAGAGAACAGTGGCTGCTGTGAAATTTTGTTTCCTGCTGGAGGGGGGCGTGGAAATGCTGCAGAAACGGTTGTGATACTGAACACAGCTTACAAGGACAGCGCTATGAGAAAAACTCAAGAGTACAAGAGGTTTTCTCATTTCATAAAAGTTGAAATGTCAATTGACAAACTCGTTCTGGATGTCCATCAACTTCCCAAAAGGGCGGAAATGTCAACTCGTAGTGCATTTGGAGTTCATTCACCAGGTCAGAGTGTTAATCAACTTTTCTATTTAGAAGTTCTGAAAAGATTTCAGAACAGTGTGCAACAGAAGGCCTTAGTTGTGGTAGACTGGGAACTGGTTTTGCCATGATGACAGTGCACCTGCTCACGCAGGCATCTCAGTATGCCAGTTTTTGGCAAAAAGCAGCCTGCCCCTTGCCCCACTCCCTTTACTCACTTGACCTTGCTATGTGTGACTTCTTTTTGTTTCTGCAAATGAAGAAGGACATGAAAGGACAGCGATTTGATGACAAGAGGTAAAGAGAAAAAAAATGAGGGAGGTGCTGTCAGCCATCTAATCAGATAAGTTTGAAGAATGGAATCGCAGATTTGACAAATGTATTAAGTATAATGGAGAGTACTTTGAAGACGATAAGGTTGTTTTGTAAAAAAAATTAAATGCATGGTGGCACTCCAGTTTTTTGGGGGGTTACCCCTCGTATTCTGAAAAATACTTAAAAGTGTTTTTTTTGTAAGTTGCCTTTTTTTTTTTTTTTTTTAAGCTCCTCATGATTTTTTTTCCCCCTTTCAACAAAGGTGCTGTTACCAGATTTGTCTTCTGGGTATCAATTGAAAATGACTGAAGTTCAAGCAATGGTAGAATTCTCCGTGGAGCTAAACAAGTTCTACAATGTGGATTTATTTCAGAGAGGGTGTGTATTTTAATTAGAAAATTATATATTTTGCATAAGACATACAATTTTAATTTAATTATATATTTATGTTCCAGCTAATATTAGCAGTCACAAATAATAAATAATTATTTCTCAGATAAACCTTATTTTTTAAGTAGACCTTTAAACTTCCACATGGATTTCATGATACTGTGGGCTATTTTGAACATGTGGGTTTTGAAGTGCTGAGTACCGAGAGCACCAAGAAAATGTTTTAGTTGTATTCATGCTCATTAAAAGTGTATAGTGTCTTTTGATACAAATTAGTTTTATAGATGCTGTCATATTAGCTGAAATTATTTTTTAAAAGTATAGTGTCATGGAGAAAAATAAAAATACTAACAAAACTAGACAAAATATACACAATGAAGCTCCAATAAATATAAGATGTAAGAAGTACTTTAGGCATTGAAACAAAAGAACACAGTTGTAGGTTACTATGTCAGACAGGCATTATAGAGGGCTAGGATCAAAGTACAGATAGGACTTTAGTACACAGAGGATAAAGGGGAAATCCTTTTAGTAGGAAAGAGCAGCATGACCAAATCTAGGCTATAAGAATGAGCATGTTATTTAAAAAAATATTGAGATCACTGGATATTAGCTAGGAAAATAGTATAAGAAAAAGTAGTAAAGAAAGAAGAGGTGGTATTTGTTAATGACCTTTGCGTTTCCAGAAAAGAATTGGCACTAGGAATTGGGTGTAACCACTGTTGATTTCCAAGTAAGGATAAAATTATCATTAGTATGCAGTATGCATTTAATAACATGGTAAAGATTGTGCTGAATTGTTGGTTGGGTAGAACTAGTAGAGTTAGAAACAGTACATAGGCACTTGCAGTAACCCAAGACAGAAATCCAAAGGACCTTGCTAAGAATGGAGATAGTGAGACTAACTGACAGGAGAATGGGAGGCTTTTTTCTATTGTTTTTTTGGTTTGTTTGTTTCATTTGGCTTTGCCACCTTGTTGAACAAATAAAACCAGCTCTGCTTTTACATAATTTCATATCACTCTGTAGGCTAACATGGGTTTTGTTTTTATGGCAGAAGCTGGGGTTCAAGAAAGAGAGGAGAGGCTAGAAGAAAGCCCCATGAACTGGCACAGTACTTCTTCCACTTATTCTGTTGGCCAGGAGGCCACAAGCCAAGCCAGTTATACAGGCTGGTTACTCTTTTGCTAGTATAACTCTTGAGTACTTCGTAGGCTTCCTATGTGCCTGCTACCATCGATGCCATGCTTAAAAACCTATATTCCAAATTGTTTTTAAGAGTTTTCCTGGAAATATAATCACTGCTACTTAGAGATCCTAATAGTAGCCCTGTTAGTTGGAATCAACTTGATGGCTGTGAGAGGGAGAATTCTGTGGGATTATGCCCTTAAACTTTTTAGAAGCCCCTTTGTCACACTGCCTTATATCATGTAGAGGTCTTTTTTTTTTAAATCATTTTATTGGGGGCTTGTACAACTCTTATCACAATCCTTACATACGTCCATTGTGTCAAGCACATTTGTACAGTTGTTGCCATCATCATTCTTGAAATAGTTGCTTTCTACTTGAGCCCTTGGTATAAGCTCATTTCACCCCCCTCCCTCACGACCCTTGATAATTTAAAAATTATTTTGTCATGTCTTCCATTGTCCGACATCTCCCTTCACCCAATTTTCTGTTGTCCATTCCCCATGGAGGGGGTTATATGTAGATCCTTGTGATCAATTTTTCCTTTCTACCCCACCTTCCCTCCACCCTCCCAGTATCGCCACTCTCAGCACTGGTGCTGAGGGGTTCATCTGTCCTGGATTCCCTGTGCTTCCAGTTCCTATCTGCACCAGTGTACATCCTCTGGTCTGGCCAGATTTGTAAGGTAGAATTGGTATCATGATAGTGTGTGTGCGTGAGGACACATTAAAGAACTAGAGGAAAGTTGTGTTTCATTGTTGCTACACTACACCCTGACTGGCTCATCTCCTCCTCACGACCCTTGTGTAAGGGGATGTCCAGTTGCCTACAGATGGGCTTTGGGTCCCCATTCCGCACTCCCCCCTCATTCACAATGATATGATTTTTTGTTCTTTGAAACCTGATACCTGATTCCATTGACACCTCATGATCACACAGGTTGATGTGCTTTCATGTGGGCTTTGTTGTTTCTGCGCTGGATGGCCGCTTGTTTACCTTCAAGCCTTTAAGACCCCAGATGCTATATCTTTTGATAGCCAGCTACCATCAGCTTTCTTCACCACATTTGCTTATGCACACATTTGTCTTCAGCATTCATATCAGGAAGGTGGGCACACAATGATATTTTTTTTGTTCTTTGATGGCTGGTACATGATCCCTTCGATCCCTGTGGTCACACAGGCTGGTGTGCTTCTTCCATGTGGGCTTTGTTGCTTCTCAGCTTGATGGCTACTTGTTTACCTTCAAGCCTTTAAAACCCCAGACACTCTTTTGATAGCCATGCTCCATCAGGTTTCTTTACCACATTTGCTTATGCACCCACTTTGTCTTCAGCGATCGTGTCGGGAAAGTGTGTATCATGGAATGCCAATTTAATAGAACAAAGTGTTCTTGCACTGAGGAAGTACTTGATTGGAGGCCCAATGTCCATCTGCTGCCTTAATAATACTAAACCTATAAATATATGCACGTAGATTTATTTCCCCATCATATATAAATATATTTACATGTGCATGCTTCTATTTAGACCTCTGTAAATGCCCTTTGCCGCCTAGTTCTTTCCTCTAGTTCCCTTTACTTTGCTCTTATCCCACTATCATGCTCAGCCTTCATTTGGGTTTTAGTAATTTCTTTTGGTTATATTGCCCTTGGTCAATCCCTATCAGGCCTCTTACATCCTCCTTGCCACTAATTTTGGATCACTTGTTGTTCCCTTTCTTGTAGAGGTCTTAACCAAGGAGCTTAACAGCCACACCTTCCATTTGATGTTTGTCCAAGTATTTTGAAAATCTCTCAGGAGATTGGATATTAAAATAACAACAACAACAAAATAACAACAAAACAGCTGTCTTTTTTTTAATTTAGCAAGACCTGGTTCCTCTATATTCCCTCTAATTTCTGCTTGTAAAGTAGTTGGTTTTTTTTTTTTACATATTTCATTTTTAATGTACTGTATCACACTAGCTGCATTTAGTTGGCATTTTCAGCATTCTGCCTGGAAATTAACTTACTTAAGGTCATTTTTTTTTTTTTTTTACTTAAGGTCATTTTAACTACTGTTTTTAAACCGTAGTTTAGGCCGCTTATTTACGAATAGCTCATCACGATAATATGGGTTACTACTGTTCAACTCTTTTGTAGTTTCTTTGGTATTTTCATAGGCTATGTAACCATTCTTGTAGTTACATTGTCTCTTAGTTTGTTGTACTGTGGTGGCTTGTGTGTTGCTGTGATGCTGGAAGCTATGTCACTAATATTAAAAATGCCAACAGGGTCAACCAAAGTGAACAGATTTCAGCAGTTTCCAGACTAAGTATAGACTATGAAGTAAAAATAGGCTGTGTACTTCTGAGGAATTAGCTAGCGAAAACCTTATGGACAGAATCAAACCATTGTCAGGTACTGCAAAACTCAAGAAAACAAGCAGAACGTTTTTGAGATAGTGCCAGTAGGTGAGCCCATCAGGTCAGAAGACACTCAAAATATGACTGAGGAAGATTTGCCATCTCAAAGTAGAATCCACCATAATGATGTGCCTAGAGTAAAGCCTGTGGGAGTAAAGCCTTCAGCACCTTCATTTGCTGATAGAGCAATACTCAAAATGAGAATAAAGATGTGCAAACATAAATTAATCAGAACGTGGATACAAAGTATGAATGTAGGAAAATTGGAAGTTTTCAAAATGAAATGGAATGATAAAACTCAACATTTTAACAATAAGTGAGCTGAAATGGACTGGCATTGACCATTTTGTTTGAGAAAGTCATAATGAAACAATAAAAGGAATGGTGTTGCATGTATTACAAAAAGGACTTTAAGATTTATCTTTAATTATAGTGCTGTCTATGATAAGATTATAAGTGTCTGCATATAAGCAAATCTAATAATATAATTGATATTCAAATATATCCACCAACCACCAATGGTAGTGGTGAGGAAGTTGAAAGATTCTGCCAATGTCATCAGTCTGAAATTGATCAAGCAAGCAATCAAGATGCATTGGTAATTATTGGTGATTGCAATGCAAAAGTTACAAACAGAAAGGAAAGAATAATAGTTGGAAAATATGGATTTTGTGATAGAATTGAAGACAGATGACATGAAAGAAGTTTGCAAGACCAACTACTTCATCATTACCAATTGACTCCATCTATGGGAAGAGATGATGGAGGAGCTCAATATCAGCATCTAAAACAAGGCCACGGCCAGAGGCCAGGTTGAAGTGGAAGAAAATTAAAACAAGTCCATAAGACCCAAAATACAACCTTGAATTTATCCCACCTGGATTCTGAGAACATCTCCTAAAAAAGATTTAATGCATTGAGCACTAATGACTGAAGATCTCATGAGCTGTGGGATGACATAAGAACATCATAGAGGAAGAGAGCATCATTAAAAAGACAAGAGAGAAAAGATTGGCATACATGTCAGAAGAGACTCTAGAAATTGCTCTTAATTGTAGAATATACTCATTGACATTGAGTCAATGCTGACTCATAGTGACCCTATAGGTCAGTGGAGAACTTCCTTGTGAGTTTCTGAAACTAACTCTTTTCAGGGACAGAAAACCGCATCTTTCTCCCATAGAGCAACTGGTGGTTTTGAACTTCTTACCTTGCAGTTAGCAGCTCAACATAACTACTATGCAACCAGGAAATGGAAGAAATGATGAAAGCAAAGAACTGAACAGAAAATTTCAAAGGGCAGCTTGAGAAGACAAATACAATAAAACCTGCAAAGACCTAGAATTATAAAACCAAAAGGAATAATATGTTCAGCATATCTTAAATTGAAAGAAC